GGGTTGAGGACGGTTTTGTGATTCTCCATGTACATACTTTTATTGTTAACAGTAATCATTTATTTTTCTCGTTAACTAACCGATATTGTCACCTTCTCAGAAGCAAAAAATGTGTGTTTGTCCCTAGAGAAAAGTCCCAGTTGTCGACAAAGCTTTAAAACTACTCAAGATATTTTGAAATATATGTTTTTTTAAATCAACGTGTTCAACATTGAATATGCCACAACAGTATGCCCTTATTTCAATTTCCATAATTTCCGACAACTATGTCCTTGCTTCTCCAGGCGCACACACACAAAATGTAATAGGTAAGTGACCGATATTGTCACCTCTTCATATGACCCTCTGCTGTTGCGAGCGCCGTAAAACTTTTAGTAAAAAACCCCCAACCTTTTCTGAAGCCATGAATATCCGTGGTGGGTGGTTGGCGGGTGCTGTGATGTGGTTTGCTTCTTTTTTCCTATCAAACATCTGTCGTCTTTATCTGCCCCCCTTCTTTTTTTGTGTTTGTTACTCTCTTGTAACACCTCTAATCTTCGACGCGTATATGACCTTATTGTGTTGCAAGTGCCGTAAAACTCTTACTAAAACTTAAAGAGTCGGTGAACTAACCGTTATCTTGTCACGTTTCCCCAGAAGCCATGAGTGAGAGTCCGTGAACCATGTGTGAGGCCCAGAAAGTCACGGCGGATGGATACGGCGACAGCGTCATCAAGCACTTCCAGAAACTCCGCGCCGAGAATGAGCTCACCGACTTCAAGGTCATCGCGCATGGACGCGTCTTTGAGGTAATTTTGTTCTAGTGTCTTGTCTGTCTGGCTGTCTGTTTGTCTGGCTGTCTTGTCTGTCTGGCTGATTGATGGTCTGTCTGGCTGTCATTCATACCTTTCTGTCATTTCTGTCTGTTTGTCTGTCTTTTCTGTCGGTGAGTCTGTCACTTCTGTATGTCAATTCTGTCTGTGTCTTTTCTGTCTGTCTGTCTTGCTTTTTTCCCCTAGCTAAGCGGGTGGTTGGCGGGTGCTCTGCTGTGGTTTGCTCCTTCTTTCCTCTCAAACGTTTATTGTTCTGATCTCTCCTAGTATGCGGGTGGTTGGAGGGCGCCACTGCTGATGTTTCTGTCTGCCTGTCTTACTTTTTCCCAGCACTAAACGACCATTATTGTGTCGCTAGTGCCGTTAAACTCTTACTAAAACAGAGTGGCGCACCTTTGCACTCAGAAGACAGGAGTTCAGTACCTGTGCCGGAAAGTCTATGTTATGGACTGTCTCTGTCGTTTTGCTATGATACTGTACACCTCGCCGACGTGGTTTGACCCTGTAACAGCGACAAAAAAAGCAGTAACAACGTTGTTGTTTTTTGTGTGCCAACAACAGTATCAACTACAGAGATTCCAGCTATATTTTCATTACCAGCAGCAACGACAACATTATCAGCTACGACAACATAATCAACAACTTTACCAGCTAAAATTACAATATGATATTAAAAACCCCCCAAAAAACCAACATCTTGACAGCTTAGTTTAGACTCCACCATAGGCCATTTTGAAAAGTGACATAATTATGATGGAGTTAAATTTTACACTTGAGGCTCTCGTGGCTTAGAGGTTAAGGTGTTGGCCTCTCATTCAAAGGTCCCGGGTTCGAATCCGGGTATTGACCGAAAAACTTTCTTCTGTTAATTTGTCTCCTTTCACCTCCTTTCCTGCTCTCTAGCAATGTTCTGTCGTCTGCTTTCGTCTCCTCTTTCTGCCCCAACTTCCTCATCTCCTTTGCCCCCCCTCCTCTGGGCTCCTGATTCTTTCTACAGCCTTTCTACTGCTACTCTTTGGCTTCTTTTTACTGCTGTCTTTCAACCACACCCCTGATCTTCTGGTAGGAAAGATCTACACCTAGCCTTCTCAGACAAGGGCGAAAAATCTCGGAGGGCCCGTGTGCAAGTTGCGCACGTTAAAGATCCCTTGGTGGTCTAAAATCAATAAGAGTAGGCTTTGGCCGCCACCCGGGCAAAATTCAAAATTTCCTACCAACTGAAAAAGTTAAATGTGTCCCGCGCGCTCATATGACCTTATGCAGTTGCGAGCGCCGTAAAACACTTACAAAAACAAACAAATTTTACACATGGCAGCAGATCTGCCTGCGCTCACAATTTAACCATTGTTTTTTCCTCCCTTTTCTCCGTTTCTCCTCCTCCCCCTCCCTCTCACCAGGTTCACCGAGCCCTGCTGGCGGCGACCAGCGACTACTTCCGGGTCATGTTCAAAGGGGTCATGGCCGAGAGCAAGCAGGATACGGTGGACCTCAAAGGCGTCTCGGCCGATGGACTGCAGCAGGTACGTCTTGTCTAGTCACATTGCTGCCTTATAGGGGTGCCAATTGGCACTATCGGTTCAGTTTACTCGCCAGGTTGAGGTTGTAAAGCGGCTATTGTGGCGCAAACCGATCGCCCAACTCGTTGCCTCAAAAATAAACGTATTATTAATTTTCAGGCGATGAGTCTGGCGATCGGTTGTCGATCCCCCAATTACCCAGGACTTTGGAAAAAAAATCGCAGAGACCCGGGAATGCCCAGAGAATTTGAGGAAATAATTTGTTAATTGTCCTGAGAAAGATTTGGGAAAATACATAAAGTTCTAAAATATTTGAAAACCATTTGTGAAGCATCGTGATGAAGTACAGGCGCTTGTCAAAATAATGAAATCAAAGAAATTCGCTTTTTTTTTGGCCGATGGGCAATTTTTTTCTTATTTTCCCTTTTTGGCTTAGCACGTTTAATGTCCATTTAAAAACACATTTTTGTGTGGATTTTATTGAGAAACATTGAGTAAAGACACAAAAAATGTAAATTTTCAGTTTCCTAGGACTCTCAGGCTGTGGAAGTTACCAGACTTTGGCGTCCATTTCCTCGCTAATTTTACCTCTGAAATCCGACAACACTGACCTCCTTCAATCACAAATATTTTGACTTCTACTCCACTTAGATGGACATTTTTTTCACCAAAAGGGAGGCAAATGAACAGGCATTAAGATGATAACAATAACCCCATAATATGCCCAAAAATTGACGAGCGCCTGATTCCCCCACGTTGTGCCACATTTAATTTTCCGTACGTTTGCCTTTGCGAGGTCATCTACAGCCATGTTTGTGGGTTTGCCTTGTAGTAATCATAGTGGATGTGTGTCTGTCCCGTCCAGGTGATTGACTTCATCTACAGCCATGTTTGTGGGTTTGCCTTGTAGTAATCATAGTGGATGTGTGTCTGTCCCGTCCAGGTGATTGACTTCATCTACAGCCATGTTTGTGGGTTTGCCTTGTAGTAATCATAGTGGATGTGTGTCTGTCCCGTCCAGGTGATTGACTTCATCTACAGCCATGTTTGTACGTTTGCCTTGTAGTAATCATAGTGGATGTGTGTCTGTCCCGTCCAGGTGATTGACTTCATCTACAGCCATGTTTGTACGTTTACCTTTTCGTGTACCGTAGTAATCATAGTGGATGTGTGTGTGTCTGTCTGTCCCACCCAGGTGATCGACTTCATCTACAGCGGCGAGATGAGTCTGAGCGAGGAAAACCTGACAGAGGTCATCAACACAGCCACTCACCTCCAGGTGACCAGTGCCATCCACGTCTGCAGCTCCTACATCAAGGTCAGTGGGCGGGCTTCTGTCTGTTTGGCTCGCTTATCTTCTGTTGTATAAAGAAAAAGTAAAGGAAGTAGGTGGTTTGAGGGGGTGCGGAGGGCGAGTGTGGGTGGTTGGCGGGTGCTCTAGTGTCTTTTGCTCCTTTTCCCCTATCAAACATCTATTGTTGTTATATGAACTAATTGTGTTGTGTTTAAGTTCTGTTGTAAATAAAAAGTGGGTGGTTGGGGGGGGGGGGGTGCTTTGGTGTGGCGTCGGTGGCCTAGTGGTTAGGCTCTCGGACTCGCAACCGTTTGGTCGCGGGTTCGAATCCCGTCAGGGGCCCGACGTTGTGTCCTTGGAAAAGGCATTTTGCACAAATTTTCCTCACTTCACCCAGGTGGGAATGGGTACCCGGCTATAGACAGCGAAAGATCTTGTCAGTTTGTTAGTGTTTGAGCGCTTAATCAGCTGCTTGCACTGTATGCTTCCCGGGAAGCTGAGAATGTTTCGGAGTGTTCTATGGTCTGCTGGGGTAATAATATAGTGTAAAGCGCATAGAGCCTGCTGTTGAGCGGGGATATGCGCTATACAAATGCTATTTATTATTATTATTATATATTATTATTATGTTTGCTCCTTTTTTCCCCCCTGGATCATTTAACTTGTTTATCTCACCTCCTGCGGTGAACAATTATATTTGGCCAGCGAGAGAATTTTATGTAGTTCATCCTGAGAAGCTCCATAACGCAGAACCTTACTGTGTTTAAAATTGTGTCAAATCTATGAAAAAAAAAGTGTTTTTAAATGGACGTAAGGGTGTTGAGCTAAAAAAAACCCTCCCCCAGAAACGTTGATAAAGGTTGTCAAGCCGTCGGAAAAAATGCAGATTTCTTCGTTTTCGTTATGTTGACGAGAGCCTGATTTCACCTCGATCCCTCACATAATTATCTATACCCCTCCCTGAACCTCTCTCCCCTCCTCAAATCTCCCTCTCCTCCCCAAACCTCCCCCCTCCCCTCTCCTTGAATCTCCCTTCCATCCCCAAAACTCCCTCCCAAAAAACTCCCCTCTCCTCCCCGAATCTCCCCAAAAACTCCCCTCTGCCCCCCAAACCTCCCTCTCCCCCCCCCCCCAATCTCCCTCCCAAAAAACTCCCCTCCCCTCCCCAAACCTCCCTCCCCTCCCTGCCTGACTCCTCCCTGACTTCTCCCTCCCCTCCCTGACTCCTCCCTCTCCTCCCTTCCCCAGTCACTGCTGACGTTTGAGAACTACGAGGAGTTCCTCTCTGTGGCAGACACCTACTCCCTGGAGGCCGTGGTCCAGCACTGGGAGAGTATGATCCACCAGCGCTTCATGGACTTCTCACAGACGCAGGTCGGGCTCTCTCTCTCTCTCTGTCTCTCTCTCTCTCTCTCTCTCTCTCTCTCTGTCTCTCTCTCTCTGTCTCTCTCTCTGTCTCTCTCTCTCTGTCTGTCTGTTTCTCTGTGTCTCTCTCTGTCTCTGTCTCTCTTTCTCTCTGTTTCTGTCTGTCTCTCCGGTGGTCCATAATTGGGAGAGTATGATCCACCAGCACTTCATGGACTTCTCACAGACACAGGTCGGGCTCTCTCTGTCTCTCTCTCTCTGTCTCTCTCTCTCTCTGTCTCTCTCTCTGTCTGTCTGTTTCTCTGTGTCTCTCTCTCTCTCTCTCTCTTTCTCTCTCTCTCTGGTGGTCCAACACTGGGACAGCATGATCCACCAGTGGTTCATGGACTTCTCACAGACACAGGTCGGGAGGCATGAGTTGTGGTTGTTGAAGCAGAATTTATTTAGTAATATAGATCATAGATTCAATCTTTATTGCGAAACTTCATTTTTATAAGAGAAATTGCCCATTGTTGGGAAGACGAGACGTGATAAATACTACATGTGTGAGGCAGCATGGTGGAACCAGACTCTTGTCAAAATAATCAAAGCGAAGAAACTTGCATTTTTCTGCAGGTTTGTTAATTTTTATCAAATTTTTGTTTTTAGGCTCAACACCTTTCATGCCCGTTAAAGAACACATTTCTGTGTGGATTTTTCGGAAAAACGGTGATTAAAGGCACAAAAAATGTAAATTTTCAGTTACCACGGACTCTTAAGCTAAGGAAATAACTAATCTTTGGCTGCCATTTTCTCACTAATTTTAACTCTGAAAACAGGTGACCCCCACCTCCTTCATTCGCACACATCTCAACTTGTATTCAAGATAAATTGATATTTTTTTCATCCAAATAAAGACAAGTGAACAAGCTTTAAGATGTTATCATAAACTCAAAATGCCCAAAAATTGACGAGAGCCTGATTCCACCACGATGCCTCACATATTTTTCCTTCTCCTATGTTGTTTCTGTCTGGCCGTCTTTTCCTTTCCCTGCACTAAAATGACCGACATTGCAACATGGTACATGAACATGTACATATGTGGGTGGTTGGTGGGTGCTCTGGTGTGGTTTGCTCCTTCTTTCCTATAAAAGACTATCGTCCTTCTCGCCCCTCCTCCTTTTTTATGTTTGTTTCTCTCGTGTTGTAACACCTCTTTTCTTCAGCACTTGTATGACCTATTGTTGTGTTGCAAGTGCCGTAAAACACTTACTAAAACTATAAACAACTCAAGTAATGGAGGCCCCCGACGTATCTATCTATGCCAGGCTTTCATGAAGATGGACGGAGACAAGCTGGCAAGGCATCTCCCACAAGACAGCCTGCGTCTGCCATCGGAGTACCAGCTGTTTCTTTGTCTGGATAAGTGGTTCCGGTACGTCAGACTGTGTGTGTGTCTGTGTGTGTGTGTGTGTATGTGTGTGTGTGTGTCGGATTACCAGCTTTTTCTGTGTCTGGACAAGTGGTTCCGGTACGTCAGACTGTGTGTGTGTGTGTATGTGTGTGTGTGTGTGTGTGTGTGTGTGTGTGTGTGTGTGTGTGTGTGTGTGTGTGTGTGTGTCGGAGTACCAGCTGTTTCTGTGTCTGGACAAGTGGTTCCGGTACGTCAGATTGTGTGTGTGTGTGTGTGTGTGTGTGTGTGTGTGTGTGTGTGTGTGTGTGTGTGTGTGTGTGTGGTTCCGGTATGTGTGGGTGTGTGTGTGGTTCCGGTATGTGTGGGTGTGTGTGTGTGTGTATGTGTGTCGGAGTACCAGCTGTTTCTGTGTCTCGACAAGTGGTTCCGGTACATCAGACTGTGTGTGGGTGTTTGTGGATGTATAGTGTGTTTTTGTATATGGATGTATTGTGTGTGTTTTTGTGGGTGTGTTTCGAGTTCAAATTGATCCGCACACCTTCATTGTCGCTCGCAGGAGACCCAAGTTCAATTCCTGATTGGCGAGGAAATTTTCAGAGAGTCTCAGCGGAAAGTGGCTGTCTTAGACATGCTTTTGTCTTACACTCTGTCATTATAATGTTACAAAAATACAGGTGCTCTGGTGTAGTATGCTCCATCTTTCTCCTATCAGACATCTATCGTCTGTCATTATAATGGTACAAAAATACAGGTGCTCTGGTGTAGTATGCTCCATCTTTCTCCTATCAGACATCTATCGTCTGTCATTATAATGGTACAAAAATACAGGTGCTCTGGTGTAGTATGCTCCATCTTTCTCCTATCAGACATCTATCGTCTGTCATTATAATGGTACAAAAATACAGGTGCTCTGGTGTAGTATGCTCCATCTTTCTCCTATCAGACATCTATCGTCTGTCATTATAATGGTACAAAAATACAGGTGCTCTGGTGTAGTATATATATGGCTCTTTTCGTCTAAGCAGACGGTCAGTTTAGCTTAAGATGGTCTCAAGGTTGTCTTCATGCAGCTTCTTTCATGGCTAATTCTTCCTATGTTTGAAGCGCAGATTCTGTTGCAGTGCTTGCATGTTAGTGTCGTAGATCGAAGGGATGGTGTAGTATGCTCCTTCTTTCTCCTATCAGACATCTATCGTCTATATATCTCTCTTCCTTGTTTTTTGTGTTTGTTACTCTCTTGTAACAGCTCTAATCTTCTACACTTATACGACTTTATTGTGTTGAAAATGCTGTTAAACTCTTACTAAAGCTAAAACCTTTTTGCACATGTGTTTGTCTTATACTGGCGGCCCTTAGAGCAAGCGGGTGGTTGGCGGGTGCTCTGGTGTGGTCTGCTTCTTCTTTCCTATCAAACATCTATCGTCCTTTTCTCCCCTTCTTCTTTTTTATGTTTGTTACTCTCTTGTAACACCTCTAATCTTCTGGCGCTCATATGACCTTATGCAGTTGCGAGCGCCGTAAAAACCTCTACTAAAACAAAAACAAACAACCTTAGAGCAAGTTTGACTGTTGTTATGGCAATTTTATCGCAGATTCCAAGCGAACCGAATGACAACGGACTCGGCTAAGTTGCTGAGCTGCGTGCGCTTCGGCCTCATGTCGGAGCAGGAACTGACAGCCATCAGCGACAGCGAGCTCGTCAAGCGCTGCCCCATCGGTCAACAGCTAGTGGCGAAAGGATATCATTACCACATGGATAGTAAGAAAGGTGAGTGGGGCTCCTTTCTCTCTCCCCCCTTCCCCTTCTTCTTCCCCCCCCTCCCTTGTCCCCTCTTCCTTCCTCATCTCCACCCTTCCCCTCCTTCCTTTAGCCAGGGTTTATGGAAAACACAGATATCCATTTGATCAACTTAACGTTTCACAGTTACCCCCCAGGGCAGTGCTACTGACTGAAGTTGTCTTTAGGACGTTCCCAAAGGGGGGGATAATAACATGTTCTTATGTACAGTAAAATTGCAAATGGGCTGATTACAATGTCATGCTCATACTGTACCAGAACAACATAGGGGGAACTGCTGCTTTTTCTTTCCTCATCCTTGCTATCATCATTTTTCCTCTACTTCTTTTGTATGTTTGTCACTGTCTTGAGAACTGCTATTTCCAGGGTGCCTTGATAGTCATAGCAGACTTTGTGCTGTTGAAGCTAGAGAGGTGAGCAGAGTAAGCCTGATTCCCCATTTAGACTTCTCTGTAGACATCCACCCCTTGGCGCTCATATGACCTTATGCAGTTGCGAACGCCGTAAAACCTTACTAAAACTAAAACTAAACTAACACGACACAGTGAGCGAGGAAGCGTAGGAAATTTAGCAGTGTTGATTGCTGCCTAGAGTGAAATGCTCGCAGCTAAAGGGATCTGAAAACAACAACCACGTGTTGACATGAACCTGGAGTTCCATGAGAAGGGTGCTAGACTTTTTTTGCGCTGAGGTACCGCATTTCCTTACCACTTACAGTACTGAAGGTACAGAATTTCCGTAACACTTACAGTACTGAAGGTACCGCATTTCCTTACCACTTACAGTACTGAAGGCTCATATACTCAAAATCCCTCAAGTACCGCACCAGTTTAGAACGTTGAAGCCGTGGTAGAATTTTTAAATAAATAAAACAAAAAAATACCCATCACAGCCCAAGAAACATGCTTTAAAAATTCACAGAATTTCATCGACCATTCAGCTATCATATCATATAGAGTGAGGTCCTGTAGTATTTACTTCAGTGCAGTGGCTCTGTGCGTTGTTGAACTCTTTCACTACCTCGAGCTGTGTTTCACGGCTCTCCACTTCCGCCTTCAAAACCACACATACTTTTGTCATAATCAGATCGGAAATCTTAGGCTGAAGAATGATTGTTTTTAGCAGCAAGGCTGAAGAATGATTGTTTTTAGCAGCATGTTGAGAAAAGTCATTAGTTCCCCTTTATTTCTGTATACAATATACGTGGCTAATACAGAGAAAATCTGAACTTGAAAATCTTTTGTTTGTATTTGTTTTTGTAAAGTGTTTTACGGCGCTCGCAACTGCATAAGGTCATATGAGCGCGCGGGACACACCTAATATTTTCAGTTGGTAGGAAATTTTGAATTTTGCCCGGGTGGTGGCCGAAGCCTACTCTTATCGATTTTAGACCACCAAGGGTTCTTCAACGTGTGCAACTTGCACACGGGCCCTCCGAGATTTTTCATCCTTGTCCGAGAAGGCTAGGTGTAGATCTTTCCTACCAGAAGATCAGGGGTGTGGTTGAAAGACAGCAGTAAGAAGAAGACAAGGAGTAGCAGTAGAAAGGCTGTAGAAAGAATCAGGAGCCCAGAGGAGGGGGGCAAAGGAGATGAGGGATTGGGGGCAGAAAGACGAGACGAAAGCGGACGACAGAACATTGCTAGAGAGAGGAAATGAGGTGAAAGGAAGGAGACAAATTTAGAGAAGAACATTTTTCGGTCACTACCCGGATTCGAACCCGGGACCTTTGAATGAGAGGCCAACACCTTAACCTCTAGGCCACGAGAGCCCCCCTTACAGTACTGAGGTACCGCATTTCCTTACCACTTACAGTACTGAAGGTACCGCATTTCCGTAACACTTACAGTACTGAAGGTACCGCATTTCCTTATCACTTACAGTACTGAAGGCTCATATACTCAAAATCCCTCAAGTACCGCACCAGTTTAGAACGTTGAAGCCATGGTAGTATTTTTTAAATAAATAGAACCAAAAAAACCCCCCATCACAGCCCAAGAAACATGCTTTAAAAATTCACAGAATTTCATCGACCATTCAGCTATCATATCATATAGAGTGACGTCCTGTAGTATTTACTTCAGTGCCGTGGCTCTGTGCGTTGTTGAACTCTTTCACTACCGCCAGCCATGTTCCATGGCTCTCCACTTCCGCCTTCAAAACCACACATACTTTTTGTCATAATCAAATCTGAAATGTTAGGCTGAAGAATGATTGTTTTTAGCAGCAAGGCTGAAGAATGATTGTTTTTAGCAGCATGTTGAGAAAAGTCATTAGTTCCCCTTTATTTCCGTGGACAATATACGTGGCTAATATAGAAAATCTGAACTTGAAAATCTTTAATTTGTCCGTCCGACAGTAGGCAGAATCAGAAAGTAGGTCTCAGATAGGGCCATGTCATGGTGAGGAACAAACTCACTGGTAGGGAAAGAGTGAAATATGTAAAGTGTGCCTGGTTGAGTCGGAGACTACAGTCGCCAGTGGTAATGAGTGCATACTACGGCCTGGTGACCTAAGTCGCTGGCGGTACTGAAAATGTTTAATGCATTCAGTTCCAGGGAAGCCGAGATTGTTTCTGAGTGTTCTAGGGTGTTTTTAAATGATTGTAAAACTCATGGAGCAATCTTAAGAATGTGGATATAATGTGCTAAGTAATATCAACTATAATAGTATAATATAATTATCATTAAATGAGGGATAATCTATGACTGCCGGTGTCTTTCCGATCTGGCACTTGAAGAGGGTAAAGAAGATAAGACGGTTGGCCTTGAATGAGTTAATTTCAATCTCCCTTAGTTCTTGTTACCATTGTGCCTAGATGGTTGACTTGGACGAGTTAATTTTCAGTGTCCCTTTGTTCTCATTGCCATTGTTCTTAAACCATTTTTGATTCCTGTTTAGTACTACGATGATCGATGATCATGGTGTAACCCCTATTGTGTTCTTCTTTCACAGGTCACCCGACCATCGAGGAGAACTGCAAAGTGCGAGCCGAGTCAGCATCCATCATCATGGTTCACCTGGGCACCTCCCACATGCCCTTCCAGATCACGGCTTTCAACCAGAGCAACAAGTCCTTCTACTGCCTCTTCTGTGATGTCAACGGCATCCGCGACTGCCGCATCGCCTCGGTGGACAACTTCGCCTACATCTGCCGTGTGGTCGATTTTGGCGGCGGGACGCTGATGAGCTCCCTGTTCCGCTTCGACCCGCGTCACCTGATGGGCCAGGAGCTGCGCCCCATGCGGCGACTGAGGCTGGAGTTTGCCTGTGTGGCCCACGCCCGCTGTCTGTACGCGTTTGGCGGCACCACGGAGCAGTTCGCCATCTTGGACTCAGTGGAGTGCTACAACGTGCAGTCCAACACGTGGGAGGAGCTACAGCCGCTGCCCGCCCCGACCCACTCTCTGGCCGCTGTGTCTCACGGCTCCAAGATCTACCTCTCTGGCGGAGTGTCGGGCGACCGGGCCATCGTGGCGTCCTTCTTCAGCTTCGACCCCGTGACCCGGCGGTACGAGGCCAAGCCCAGCATGTTCTACCCACGCCGGCTGCACGACATGATCGCCCATGAGTCGAAGATCTTCGCTCTGGGCGGGATCACGCGCCAGGGCATACCCCTGTACGGGCAGATCCCGATCGAGAGCTTCGACATGACGACCAATCAGTGGACGGTGCTGTCCTCCACTCTGGGCGGGCGCTCTGTCGGACATTACATGCACCTGGGCGGCGACAAGATCCTGTCTCTGGGCCACGAACACCACAGCGCCACGGAGGAAGAGATGTGGCTCTACGAGTCGGAGACGGACACATGGTCCAAGTACGCCCGCGCCCCGCACCGCATGAGCCTCAACTCAGCACTCAGCACGCAGCTGCACATCAACTTCTTCCAGGAGAAGGTCTCGGCCAAGATCATCAAGGACAAATGATGAGGATGAGGGGAGAGAAGGGCTTGAGGCGTGGCCACGATTATAAAGGACAAGTGATGACGATGAGATGGGGAAGGGTTCGAGGTGCTGCCACCATCATTAAGGACAAATGATGACGATAAGATATGGAAGGAAGGGCTGGAAGCATGGCTGTTCATGTGGCCTCCCTCGGCTGATCTGATGGCTCTGCCACAGCAGTGAAGCGACAGTGCCACCACTGACTTTTGCACCACGGGGGGGGGGGATCTTGCTGTAAGTTGCGGAGAAGAAGACCGACGGTGTGTCGGAGATGTGAATACGACGTAACGAGACAGCCAAGGGGAATTTGTCTCTGAATCACAAAAGTGATTGTTGTTGAGATATTGGACAACTGTGTACTTTAGTCCTGCTATAGCAAGGTTTTCTGTGAATCCACTAAAGAGGCTTTCTCTTAAAGGTTGCAGCCATGAGGGACATTCTGACATTTTTGGGCGAGTGAGGGAACCCCCCCCCCCTCTCCCTGATGTTTTGACATATTTCTCCTTGCCTGGGACACTCCGGCATCGAGTGAGCGAAGGAGGATTTCTTATTTTTGTTCTTTCCAATGTATTTCTGACCACTGCCACCACGCCAGGAGAGTGTTGCTGCGGTGGAGACACGATACCTCGGTTATCTCAAAGGGCAGGGATGGAGGAGCATGTGTTGTCGGTGTCGCGTCTATGTGTGTCATGTCTATGTGTCGGTCATCCTCTACGCGTGTCACATCTTCGTGTCGGTCATCCTCTCACCGGTTTCCTTCTGATGCAACTCTCCTTCACAATGGGATGCACCTGCTATAGTGCGGTCAGAAATTCATGGCGCAACTTATCCTCAAATATCTGTTTAACGGGTGAATCTCTGTCGCCCATACTTTGCACAGCAGTTTGTCTCGATTTGTCTTAACTTAATTATATTTTCCCACAAGAATCGAGGCAATAGTAAAAACTTTTCTTCATAAATTCATATAAAATACTCTTAATCTCCATCATGTGGAAAATGTGATTGTTCACGGCACTTCCTGCTTCTCACGCGCATTTTGCATACGCATGTGGCCTATGTCACAGCTCACCAATGACACTTTCTACTGGCAAAACTTGTTACTAGAAATTAATTTTAAAGTGAACACATATTTTTCACTAAAGGATCTCAAAACATGAGTTCAATTTAAAGCATAATGTCGCGATTAGAAAAAAAAATGATAGACTTGCTTTTAAAAGCGATATGATCCAGCTGTAAAACTTATAAAATCTGGTGAAACCACCTACTTGGATTTTTTACTAGTATTTATTTAAGGAATTTTTCTAAAATGCAGCTGACAGGTGTTTATTAAAATATTGATCTGTTCAATACTTGAGGAGATATTTGACTAGAAGTTTCGCCGCCAATATTTGACCGCACCATAGTTTTGTATCTCCCCGGCTACTGCCATTGTCATCATGCTCCGTTTCGCATGACGATCATGTATGAGCAGATGGCTAAAAATAGACCACTGGTATGTAGTAAGTCTGTGAGTTGGCAATTCTTCTCTTTCATGACCACCGTTTTCTTCTCTTGGCTGCTCTCCTGGAAGAGAGCGTGTGTTGTGTGCGCGTGCGTGTGTTGTGTGCGCGTGCGTGTATGTGTGCGCGTGCGTGTATGTGTGCGCGCTCACGTAAGGATGTACTGTTGCTATGGTGATAATGAGGAGAGATTGTGATGGTCCTCCGGTGTTTTATTATATATATATATATATATATATATATATATATATATATATATATACTCAAGTTGTGCACAGTTAAAACACTCCTGCATCATTCGCTTCTTCCCACGCTGGTTTCCCCAGCTATGCCATTCATGATGCAGGATTCTTTCCTCTGATCTTGCTGAAATTCTTTGAATCAATTTTGTTGTTGTTTTTTTTTTGTTTTTTGAATGAGAGTTTATTCGTAGGGAGAACTACCAAGAACAGCTACCTTGCTGACATTCTTTCTACAACCGCACACTGCGCGAAGTGCCACGGTCGTATGCTTTTATTTTTGTGACACAGTTTGTTGAAGTTTAGGCTGATTTTTGCGCTTTCTTCAATCAATATGTTTTCAGTAGTCTCCTCCTCCCTCCCTCTGTGAGCCTGTCTCTGTCCGTCTGTCTGTCTGTCTTTCTCTCTGTCTGTCTCTCTCTCTGTCTGTCTCTGTCTGTCTGTCTTCTTTGACTGTTGTTGATAGACAGCCCTAAAATACGATAATCTACTTCACAAAATCGGACAAATTTGTAATTCGAAATGGGGCTGGTTTAAAGGATTATGTATGTTTGTTGTTGTTGTTGTTGGAATTATTTTGCCTCAGAGACATTCATGCAGGATTTTTAAGATTGAAAATGAGTTCCACAAACTTTACGTATGTGATTTACTTTTCCTGTTGCGCAAAGCACACAAACGGTGATCTTTGATGGAAGGTTCTTTCATCGTCTAATAATAACCTAGATATTTTTGGCCTGACTGTTACGGAATTTCTTCGGTTACAATGTTGCTTGTTGTTGTTGTTGTTGCTGCAGTCAGTCGGAGGGTTTTTTTGTTACTACGAGCGACTCCTTTGTACAAAGTGTTGCTATCTGTGTGTTTTACACTAGTGATCCTTTTTGTTGGGAGAGGAAAGTAGCTTCATGAAGAAATCTCGCCTGTCCCTTCAACATGATGTGTGTCTAGGTTTTTCACATTATATTGAGACCTGTTTGTTGGAGAGGAAAGTCGCTTTTTTATGGAAAAAACCTCGCTTGTCATTTCTACAGATGTGTAGATGTCCGACACGATCAGTCTATTGTTGTAGTAAGTTGGACTGTTTCTGGTTCAACTCTTTTGTTTTTTGTTTTTGTCCTGTATTTTGGAAAATGAAGTTTTTCCGAAACATACTTAGAAGGTGAAACTGGAGAGACTTTTTGCTAAATGACTTTAGTGAGAATGGTAAGAAGAAGAAGCTTCACACTCTGTAAATAAAGCGTTGACTACACCAGAGGCCCTCAGTGTCTGTGGTGAAACGACCCGGGCTCTTCACCAGCGCTTGCACAAGGCATGAGTTCAAGTTCCATTTCTGTCTCTGTCACTGATCCCATAATCCACGAGATTCGTACTGGGCGCTGTATGAAAGAGAGCCTCATCAGGTGCCTCCACTTTTCGCCGGGGTTTTTTGCGAGCGTCTGGGTTTGGGCGAAGGATTTCCCTGTCCACTCTGCTGCAATTCGCATGTTGGCAGGGTCCGAAAATTTTTGAAAAATTATCATTACATTACACATCTCCGTCTGTCTGCTGGGAGCGTTGCATCCTTCCTCCCCTCTCTGCCCAGGTTGGCCGTGACACTCGAGGATGTTTATAGGGTGTGCGAACCCCAGCCCTCCGGTACTGCCATCCACACAGACTGGTGTTTCATGATGTTTCTTGTTGTTCAGAGAGAGTGAATTCAACTCCGCAGTGTTTCAAGAAGTCTGTGATTTTTTTTCTACGTCTTTTTCTCGTACGATGTAATGTGATTTTTTACATATATTTTTTTCGTTGTTGTTGTTGGTGTTGGTGGTGGTGGTGGTCTGTTTTTGGGGAAAGGTAAGAGGTGGGGATGGGTGGTGGTGGTGGTTAGGGATTGCGTTATATTGTGGTGGGAGGAAGAGTTTGTTACGTTGGTTGATTTTTTTTTTGGGGGGGGGGGGGTTTTGATGTGACCATTGATGTTTGTTCAATTCTTTCAGATGTGTTTACAAAGTCAAGTGTACACTTTGACATGTTGTAGCCTTTTTGCTTATTCTGCCGGTGGTTTCCAAGAGTTGTTATAATTTTACATCCCGGTCTCTATGTTATTTCATCAAATTATGCTGGGTCGTTTTGTTTTTGTTGGGGGTTTTTTTGGGGGGGGGTTTTGTATACGTGTTCAGTACACAAACGTCAACAGACTACGTTATTCTTTTCGTATGCGCCTGTGCTGTGAACGTGTACTGTGAGCGTGTGGTGTGTGCTGTGCTGTGAGTGTGTGCTGTGAGTGTGTACTGTGATTCATCGTCAGTCTCTGACCCTCATTAATTAACCTCCAGGGCTGTGCTACTGACTGAAGTGTGTTTAGGCCATTCCCAAAGAGGGGACATTAATATGTTCTAATGCACAGTAGAATTGTGAATGGGCTGATTCATCGTTGTGCTCATTACTGCCTGAGCTGCATACGGGGAACTGCTGCTTTTTCTTTCCTTATCCTTACTGTCGTCATTTTCCTCTACTTCTTTTACAGTTGTCACACTCTTATGAAATGCTATTTCCGGGGTGCCTCGAAGCAGACTTTGTGCTGTTGAGGCTAGAGAGATGAGCAGAGTAAGCCTGATTCCCTGTACGGACTTCTCTGTTGACATCCACTCCTTGGCGCTCATAATAACCTTGTGCAGTTGCAAGCGCCGTAAAACCTCTATTAAAACAAACTGACCCTCATTCAAAGAACTGCTTTCAAAAAAGCTGGCAACGTTGTGGAGCTGCGTTTTTCACGTCAAACTTCTCACAACCATGTACTGAGCAGATAGACCTGTGTTATCGTAGGGTAGTGATTAGTCTTCTAGAGTGTTGGTTGTATCCCTGGCAGGCCAGCAGATAGACCTGTGTTATGGTAGGGTCGTGATTAGTCTTCTAGAGTCTTGTTTGTATCCCTGGCAGGCCAGATCGGTCCCTGGTGGGCAGTGCCGAAGCAGCTCACACCTTGTTAGTTAGTGATTGATCGGGACGCTCCATAAAACGTCAATAATTTTTTTTTTTTTACGTCGACGTGCAATGGGAAATTGCTGGTCTATTGTGACCTTCCCTGTTTCTTTCTTCTTGTTCTTGTTCTTGTTCTTGTTCTTGTTCTTGTTCTTGTTCTTCTTCTTCTTCTTCTTCTTCTTCTTCT